TTGATAATAGAAAATTTAGCGAATAGATCCGTCGCGAAAGATTTGAAAGTTGTCGCAGAACCTCGTACGGAAGAAAACTACCAAGAATCACCAATATAAACTCAAAAGAACCAAAAGAATTATCAAATTGCCCAAATTTTTCATGGATCAAACGGATGAAAAGTGATGTAGGTTTGAAACTAAGTCAAAAAAAATTTTCCAAGAGATAAGCTGGCTACGAATTACTCAAAGTAAAGGGCAAATCGAATTCAATTCGCAAAAAGTCGACATTTTCATTTATAGCGTAAGCTTTAAACTATCTGAAAGTAACTGTGGTGTTTTAGAAGCAAAAAATGGTTGTGCAATAGACAGATCAAATCTTTCAAATAAGATGGATTATTTCTTTTTGGTATCGAAAAATTTGAAATTATTCATTTTAGGGTGGTGAAAAAACCACCATAAAAGTTGATATATATTTCATTACTTGCTGAATCGTGTGATGGGTGGTGTCAAAAGCGAGGTGGCCAATCAAGACCTGTGCTGATATGGTTAGGAAAGGAATGACTGAACGTATAGGTGCACCAGCAGTATATGGACTTAGACAATGGAAAAAGGAATGGCTTCTATTACTGTCGACGTTGGCATCGCGCAGCTTGGAAACGTTTTATTCTTGTAGCCAGTGGAGACAGCAACCAATAATAGTGAGAGCTGTTAGAAGAAGAAGGTTGATGAAAAAGAAAAGGAATCTATGTAGTCGAAACAGCAGAAATGAGCGATGAAAAAACTGAAGAATAGAAAGAATCTATAAATGCCTGTGAAAAAACTTTCACCACGATTACTATCTGCAGTTGATGTACTGGATTCGATTTTTGACCAACAAATAATTATTTCTTACTTTCCCATTTTTTTTATATTTTGAAACAAGGAGCCAAAAAGTCATTGTTAATTTCCAAGTGCAATTTTTGTGGAGGCGATCTAAATCAGAGCGACAAAATTGAAAAGAACAAAATATCGACAAAATGTGGTATCTTTCTCACAAATGATTGCTTCGATTGAAAAGCTTAGGCAAAACTGAATGTTTTTTTCTCCAAAAGCTAATGCACACATAACCAGTGGGTCAATCTTTGAAAGTGCTTCTTGGTACCTAAATGGTTTTTAAATGAATTTCACTGTTTACCAAATTTTATCGAATTTTTTTAGAAATTTTCTCTTTATTCCCTAATTCCTTTATGCGATAGCCAAGTGGTTAGCAGCTTAGATCGGCTAATAGTGAATTGGCTCTGTCTGCGACAAGCGTAAACTTATAAAAGATCCTGATATTTACTTCTATCACGAAGTGAATCCTTAGCAGAAATTTCTCATTATAATATACTAATAAAACCAATAGAGTGAATCTAATGAGAAATGGTGGGCGAAATATTTTTTATAGAAGGCAAGGTATACGAAAATTGCTTAAATTATCGCTGTTGAATTTTACCTTCGGCAAAAAGCAAAATAGTGCGAATGGTGCTCACGTAATATCTGTAACCATTTCCACTTTTGTAGCAAATTTGATATATATTTAATATATATATATATTTGATATATATTTAATACAGAATATATATTTTATACAGAATAAATTAGATGGAAGAGAGATGCTGACGAAACTTCCAGAATCCAAATTAGCAAGTAATGAATTCATAAATAAATGAAGGAAGTGAAAAACTAAGGGAAGATACTAAGGAAAAAATCACCGAAAATTTTGATGGCGTGAAAGTAATGGAACCTACTTCGCTGAGCATAGGTTTAATTTTGATTGATTCACCATCTATATCCACTGCTGCAACCTATGTGCTGTACTATTCCAAGTCGTTTGAAGGGAAATGAATTTTATAATACGATGAAAAATAATTCATCAGATTGTGTTAGAAAAATTGCATCAGTAACAGATAAAGAAAAAATTATGTTGCAAAAAGGATTTGTGGAGAATGCTCCCTTATCGATGCAAAATTGCATAAATATTGAAACATTGAAACTTTACTTTAAGCTCCACTAAAATAGTATCTAAATTTGCCGACAATCGAATAACTTATGGTGAAGAATTTTCCATCGAAGGTATCTGTTAGCCCACCTATTGCATTATTTCTTATTAAAATTTTCCTTAATGAATTGGTAGAAAACGATTCGTCGACATTCATCATCTCTCTGCTGCTGAAGAAAAAATTAGCTGCATGGATCAAAATTTTACGGACAAAAGTCTGGGTATATAGCCAAATTTTACTGAAATTTTACAGACAAATATTCAAAATTAAGATAAATTTCAAAGATTTTCACCAGTTTCAGAATTCTTCTTTTTCTAACAGCTCTCACCATTACTGGTTAGGCTGGCTTCAACGGCTACAAGGGTAAGACGCTTCCAAGCGGCGCGGTCTTATGCCATCGTCGACAGTAATAGAAGCCATTCCTTTTTCCATCATCTAAATCCATATATTGCTGGTCCACCTATACGTTCAAAATCTTTCCTAATCGTATCAGTAAAATATTTCCTGATTTGAAATAAACCAGAAATGAAATAAAATTTGATGTATGGTCTACGATGATTGCTTCAAAATATCAGTCCAGGTCTTGATACCAGTTTCAGAATCGAAAGAAAATAGCTTCGATAATTTTTTTTATAAATTCGGCATTTTTTAAATATTTCATTATTTTGGAGATATTTTTATTTCATCGTTTTTTATGCAACTCATTCATAAGGCTTTTTGTATAGATTTGCATGATACTATATTAATCATCGAGCTGCTTAGCTTAATTGTACTTTTAATGCAGTAATTTCATGTTATTATTGATATTGTTTAAATTTTATTTTTCTAAATTTTCGCTATAAAATATTTCTTGATTCGAAATAAACCAGAAATGAAATAAAATTTAATGTGTGGTCTATGATTGCTTCAAAAAGCTTTTGATAAGTTGAAGAAATTGTAGTGTGAAGAAACTACAACTGCAGGTTCCTATTTCGTGAAGGTATTTTTCATCTTTATTTGATTTATTTTTTTTTTTTATAATAAGTCATTGCTTGAAATTCCATGGTGAATCTATTCCTGAAGATGATAATGTGAAATTATTGTTAGAAGAATTCTTCGTAAAGAGTCTCACTTTTAGCAAGAAAAGATCTTTTCTTGTGGAAAGTGTGGAAATTTAAAATTAATTTATAAAGTTTAAGTTTTATTAAATTTTTGTAAATTTTTTTACTGCAATTCTTTGTAACATCGTTCTTGAACACTATAATTTCCTAGAGTTCGGTTTTTACAGATAACACAGATCTTCAAATAAAAGCAAACCAATCAAAAACCATTTTCTAATTAATTCTGATAACGGCGATAGATTTTGGATTAATATGAGATAGCGCTTGATCAACATATGGCATACATTATTGTGGATCTTAATGGATTCCCAATAATCGCTTATCAATTCGAGGTGATAATTAATGAGAAAAATTTTACAGAACTAGGATTATTGAATATTCACCCTTAAAACCTCTTCCATTCGATGAATTGAAGAATGCTATCAGTTGTCATAATCGGATCAAATTTTATTTATTTTTATTTTAAAGCGATAATTCTTCTTTCCTATCACTCAAATATTCGCAATGGTAGACCAATTTAAAAAAATTTAAATCTAAACTTTTACTGTCACAAACGACTTCTACGACATTGTCAACAGTATAATTTTTCACCTAAGGAATCCTCTGATACAATATGGAACCAAAGAATTCACGATTAAGATCCCCTTAGGCGAATTTATATGTCAACAGAGACAATGTCGTATTCAAATAGAATTCAAATGTATTCAAATAGAATATTTTTAATATATTCAGGAAGAATTTAATGTCCCTACGGCAATTCTATTCATTCATAAATCATTTATGATTAAAAATTTTTAAAGAAACCATTTGAAAAAATCATTCTTGGAAAATTTTAATGCTTTCGCTCTTCACTGTATTATTCTTTGTATTTTTGGTATGTTTAATGCATAAATTTCGAATTATTGTATAAGATTTGAAATTATTAAGATTAATAACTTCAAAAAATTTGTAGTTACAGATAGATTTTGCGAAGATCGTGGCAATGCGAAGCATTTTTCTTGCAGGCATTCAAAAACTCGTATAGCAGTGATACATTAGGAAGAATAAACAATCCTGGTCAGGATGGTTTAAAAGGGTTCAAATATGATTTGGTTAATACCACATTTCACCAAAATAATGAAACGAAATCAATAGAAAATGGAAAGAAGCATGAAGAGAGAGTAGAATTGAGATTTGGTGAAAAATTCGTAATTTATCAATCGAATGTTTCATCCTTACAAGTGGTTGATGTCGTTGTACCTGGTCCTAATAACAGGTGTACCATTATAAATTGTAAACTTATATAATTTCATTTTCTAACTTATCCATTAAAGCAACTGCAATACTGATAACGATATATGTTAGATTATTGTGGTTACGCCATCGCTGGACTGATTCCGGGGCAGTGACTACCGTACCTGTATTTAGATAGTCGTTTCTCTAGAAAGTCTCTAGGCAAAATAGGCATGCACCCATCTGAATTTTACTTAGAATAAGCAGCTTGGTTTCTGTCAAGTAAAGCTAAGGAATGGCACTCATGTTGCTGCATTTGGCTAAAACAATGGACTCCCGAGCATTATGATGGCGGCGATTATGTGGATTGAAAACTTCTAACACCATTAATATAAATTGGTAATTAATTGTAGAAAAAAAGAAACAGAATTATATAAAAAATTTATTTTCGTTCGATATTTTAGGTCGTTATATTTAGAAAGAAATTTAATGGGGAGTTATATCATGGACCACACAATTATAGCAATTAAGGTTCCAAATTGTATGTTTAAAAATTTTCTTTTCCATAGACAATAAAAGTTAATTATTCTTTTAAATGGCTTTATTTCAATTAATTTATCACTTGAAGCAACTATTGATTAGATATGATTAGATATAAAGAAAATTATCATAAATTTAAGCTGTAATGCGACCCATTGACACGACTAAATGGTCTATCGATTATTCATATGCTGGTGCAGCTTATATAGCATATATGATAGCAGCAGCATATGCAGGAGGAGCGATAAGTACCAACCAGTCAATTTATGCTGATATTCTCTCCATTGGACTCGGTGGTGGATCCTTAAATAATTTCCTTCGACATATGACGAAAAATGTTGCTATTTATTTTAGATTTGCATAAAGTTTCGGGCAAAAATTAAGCTTATTTCAGCTTAATTCTAAAATCTGTTTATTTGTGAATTAAAACAATTTAATACTAAATAATATTAAAAATAATAAAACTTTTAAAAAATATATTGTGGTAACTTTTATTAATTGGAATATGGTGAAAACAAAAATCATTGCAGACCAACATCACGATCATTGAAATCAATAAGGAAATGGTGGATTTGGCAAAAACTTATTTTGGTTTAATCGAAGACGACAGGCAACGATGTATTGTCGGAGATGGTGCCAAATTTGTGAAAAAGTTTGCTGAAAAAGGTAAAAGTAACACAGCTAAACACCTATCTTAGATGAATACCTTGGACATGGTACCATTATGTATATATATACCATTATGTATATATATATATATATATTTTAGCTACTACTTTATTGAATTATCATAAATTGATAATTAAAAATAATGTGTTTTAGGAAAAAAATTCGATGTTGTCGTTCTGGATGCTTGCGATACAAATGAAACTTCTAAATGCCCAAATGATGCATTCATACAACCATCAGTTACGAAATATTTTCCAAAAATTCTAAAAAAATCAGGTATTTGTGATGTTTTTTGTAATATTTACAGAATAATATTTTTATAGAATAATCAATATTTTTTAAAGATATTTAATTCAAATGCATTTTATTTCTTCAAAAATATTAATATCAATTTTATAAATTTTTATAAATTTTGTAAATTTTAACTTTATAAATTTTTTTTTTATAAATTTGTAATTTTATAAATTTCACTTTATTAGAAAAAAGAATAAATCTAATTTTGCAAATAATAAATTACAAAGACGATATTTATGGATATTGCTCGATATTCTAAATAATTGCTATCATTTCCACAATATTTTCCTTCAGGCATTCTCTTAATAAACTATATAGCCATCGGTGCACAATCGTTCTCCCTCAGAAGAGTGAGTTAAATATTTTCAATTAAGCGATTATCGGCCTATGAAACTTTATGCGAAAAAGTTTTTGCCAAAAAATGATTAATTCTTCGAGAGAACCATTTGGGTTGAGGATTGCAAGATTTAGCCATCTAATTTTATTTTTAGCAGGCAATTTATTGCTTGAAATAAATTCATTCATTGCTCATGGCCAAAGCTCAAAAACTCAAACAAATCTCAACATTAAAGTTTTTATAAAATCAAAATTTCTATATTGGTATGTATGGAAGCAAAAATTCAGAAATTTTTTCTAAAAAATGCTTTACGGTGTTTTTAAAATTGTATTAATGCAATTATTATATTCTCATCATATTTGTGCTCCTTTAGGCAATTGTAATTGCAATTCTATAAACCAATGATTCTCGCTTAAAGCGCTTTGGATCAAATTCAGTAAATTTTCAATAATTTAGTCGTGCAGAAATAAAGTTTACAAATTGACTCAAGCTTCCGGATGGACTGTACTGAGGACTCATCCATAATCCTCTCTTCAGTCAATTCTCTAGCAAAAAATGCCCCGTTCTAATAATAAATAGAGCCAACCGAATCGAAAATTATATGAAAAAGATTATAAAATACAACTTTTTTCGTGCTGAATAAATAGTGAATTTTCAGGTTTTGAATGCTTACAAAAAGTTTTTTAAAGGATGCATTCCAAATGACACTGCAGATCGAGATAATAAAGTTTGTTTACTTATTTTTCTTCCTATTTGTATAAATAAGTCTAAACAAATTTATATATCAGCGTCAGATAAACAGAATTATCCAAAAACTTCTTGTAGAGATTCGAAATCTTTTCTTGAATTCAGGCAATTTTCTTTCAAATACATCTTTTAATGCATTTTACTGGTACCTAGCGAGGATAAAAGTTTTTCATTTTGAGGGCCATAGACATTGACTTGCAAATAGATCTTCAGCTCCATCCAGATTTCTAGATTTTAAGTGGAGTCCTTTCCAAAACCATTATTTTCTTGAAGTGAGATCCATCAACTAATTTTTTCACTAATTGAAAATTTTTTCAAATCTTTCGCAAATTAATGGGAAAAATTTCATTTTTCGAATTCAAATTCATTCTCAAATAGTTTTAATTCTATTTTATATGTAAATTTCAGTGTATTATTTGTGTGAATGGCGATGAACAATTTAAATATTTCACTAGTGAAAAATTTAAGCGAAATTTAAAGAAATATTGGAACAAATTCAATTTTTCCGACTTTTATAATTATGGATTTATTTGAAAAATTTTTAAAATATGCCAATGCAAATTTCGTAAATAATTACAAACTTGTTTAATAATTATTATACGAGAAATTTTTTTATGGAAATTTCATATAAGAAATTCGTATTCATTTTTAAATTATTGCTTTCTTATTGCTTTATCGGCTATTGAAAAATAAGATTTTGCAAACATATATTTTTCAGAAAAATATAAGCAAAAAAAGATCGTTGATCGTTGTTTATCAATTTTCACTATTGCATGCAGAAAATTTATTGCCTTTGGTACTATAAAGTATAAATAATTCATTGGAAATCATACGACGAATTTCTAAATTTTAGAGAAAATAATAACATTTATAGTTATTTATATATTTCTTCTTCCTTTTTTCACAGTGAAGTCTGGAGCCAAACTCGTTCAAAATCTACCTTCTACTCTTCTTTCTTCTGCTCTCTGACGAAGATATCTCGCCTCAGTAGCCAGCATATCCAGCTAAATCGGTGAGAATTAGTGCTCATAGAGCATAGTAGAGTGATACACAGTAAAAAAAAAAGCCAGATTTGAGAAAAGTGGACTTTTTTCATGTTACTTTTAGTAGAGCGAGCCATTTTAAGGTAAATCTTTGCCCTTTCCTAAATTTTTCCAATTCATTTGAAGTAAAAAGCTTTTTTTTACATATTTAGGAATGCTTATAAAAATTTGTATGCAAAAATTTTGATCACATAAATTTTGATTTTATTTTAGCCTTTTTTTCAAAAAACAGATGATGAATAGCCGGAAAATGAAAATATTTTCTCAACTTTTTTACTTTTAAAGAATTTTTCACAGTTTTTCAAACTAAAAGATTTATTAGCTAATAACATTTTTCTCCGTTTTCCTACTATTCACTACACTCCCCGTCTTTCATTCGTCTGCTGCTCATCAAACTGCAAACGAATTACTAAATTACTAAAATAATCAAAAAATGAATAAAATAATCAAACTATTATCCTATAAACGTATTAATAAAGCTACACGCTACTTAGCTATTATTATCAGTGCGAAGAAGCTGAACTATGATATCTAAAATAATAATAAATAATAAAATATAATTTAAAATTTTTTATAAGATTTTTATTTTTTAAAAAAATTTATAAAATTTTTTCGCTTTATCAGTTATTTCTTAACATTTATCAGCATATTCAAGGTGGATATTCATGTTAACTGAGACATAAAATGGTGAGTTATTGCACAATTCGGAGCGCAGATGCTGAGGTTTCACTCCTTGCAGGAAAATCTTTCCAAAAATCCGGGTGATGCTGGCAACTTACTTGTATTTCTATCGCCAAAGGACTTCCGGGCTTATTGCACAGTGCGACAAACCAGTGGAGCGAGTCTAACCAGCAATGCTGAGAGCTTTAAAAAAAAAAAAAACCATGCTAACTGAGTGAAAATGATATTTTCACGCTGCTTTTCATTTAATATTTCCCCGTTTTGGATGATTAATTAGTTTTTAGTTCATAATTAATTAATTTTGCATTTATTCCATATAGTATATTTGCAAAAAAATTTTTAAAAATCATCCTTGAATTTAATGGCGTGAGCACCATTGAATAAATAAACAAATAAAGTAAACAAATAAATTTAGGTATTTTTGCAATATTCGATCGCATATGTTCCGAAAAAAATTTCGAATTTGGCCAAATTTTCCAAGATTTTGGCTGCTTATACTATATGTGGCAGAAATTCTTGTTGTTCAATATTGTCCTTTCTTTATTCAATATCGTTTCTGTATCTTTTGATTACTTTGTAAACTCTCTATGTGGGAATATGTGTATTGACGATCGAAACGTTGATTAAAGAGGCCACAAGGTATTCATTCGTTTACGTTTATCAAGCCTTTTCGTTCATCGCCATGATATTTTCATTTCATCCTGAAATTTCCAATAATTTCTGTTGTATAACAAGAAGTTTTCCTCTGAAACAAAGACAGCAATTGTTTTGCGTCTTTAATGATATGATATTTATGAGGATGTACGATATGTAGGAGCTATGATGAACGAATGTCGCTCGGTTCTCTCTGCTCCCAACAAATTGTTACTCGACTTCTGCGTTTGTTTTTCCATTTTCGAAATTCGAAACAACTGAAAAAATTTCAAATATTTATCGCTTAACTGAAGCCATTTTGGTGAAAGATGGTTAATGATAGTTGGTGATAAAATGAGCGATTCTAAATTAAATAAAAATCATTCTATGCGACATAATATTAGGAAAATAAATTTTAAATTCACTCATATGTGTTAAAAAATAACATTGCATTGCATATTCATAGAATATCGCATGGATTTTATTAGCATTGAATTTTTGAAAAATACTGTGCCGATTTATCGATTAAAATATATGGAAAATGAGCGAAAACAAAATCAAAAAAGTAGCTTATCAGTTGTTATGATAGCGGAATTATGCTGTTTGGAGCTATTATTTTGGTAAGTTTTTATATGAGAATAATCATAATAATTGCAACTTTTGACTCAAAACTGATTTCTAATTAGGCTTAAGGCCTAGTGGAAAACATGCTGACTGATCTATATTTCTATCAGTAAATCAATAACGAGAATATTGCGAGATTCTTAGCGTAATGGTCGCTGAAGCTGATCAAACAGTGGATTAGTGAACAGCATGTTCAGAGGGACAAGCATTAGTAAGATCTCTTAAGCTCAAAAATTGATGCTTCCAAAATTAAAATCAAAAGTGCTGGAAAAATTAAATTTGTTCCAATATTTCTCTAAATTTCGTTCTCTCGTTTAAATAGAAAGGTTAAAAAGTTTTATACGTAAAATATTTATTCGAATATTTATTTTCATTTTATTAATAATCAATAGCATGAAATTAATAAATTGAAAAAAAAAATTAAAAAAATTATAAATTTATAAAAAATTTAATTATTTATTTTATCGATCAAATTGAAATGCTATCAGTGAAAATTAACTAATATTGATCAGTTTTAAAAAATTATTCAAGCGATTCCAAAATTAAAATCAAAAGTGCTGGAAAAATTAAATTTGTTCCAATATTTCTCTAAATTTCGTTTAAATTTTTTACTCATCAAATATTTATGCAGTTCACTGCGATTCACACATATAATACACTGAAATTTATAATCAAATAATTAAAAAACTATTCGAAAAATTATTTTTCTTGTAATTCTTTTGTTTCAAATGAATTTTTTTGTATACTTAGCGAAACGGGAATTTAATAATATTTCAGTTGATAATTCTCATAAATTATGATTTTTCTTTACCTTTAGAAAAAATTTTATTCGTATCAAATGGGAATGGTGCCAAGGATCCATTTGTAATTCTGCCTTTAAGCGAACCCCTAGCGAACTCCTCTGGTTCTATATGTTATATCACAAAAAAATAGGCTAAGGTGATAAAGAGTTTCAGACACCAAAAAAAATTTGGAACCACAGGATTTGAAAAATTTTTGTATAGGAGAAAGAAAAAAATTAGATAAACGAACTTTATTATATTCATTGCCAATTTTTATTGGAATGCATGCTTTGAAAAATTTATTATAAACATTTACAACCTGCAAAATTTTTTTAGCGAACGATAACTGGTAAACTGCTTGATCATAGAGCTACAAGCGAGTTCACAACATTATTCTTGGATCTTGGATCATCTTGGATATTTTCTTTTTTGGTTAAGGCTTTTTAAATTGTTTTTTTAAGAGCAATCAGTATTACATGTCTTATTCCGCTGGCTTGTAGGACTAGTCAAGTATGCCAGGGAATCCCTTGGCGATAGAAATACATGTGTATGTGAATCGCCAGCATCACCTATATTTTGGACAGGTTTTCTTGTCGAGAGTAAAACATCGGTACTCCGAATTGAGCACAACCCACCGAGCCATTCTACTCCTCTTTAATATGATGGTACTTCGCTCTATGCTCATCAATTCTAAATTTGAAAGAAAACTTCCGCTTCCTTCCATATTCTAACAAATGAAATCATTTTATCTAATAATAAGCTTCGATTCAGTTGCTACGGCAATTTTTCCGGTAACAATGAACTTACTGCTAAAAATACAAGTGAGGCGATTATTGGCTAATCATATATTTCCATACGCAAATTCCTCTCTCGAAATTTAATTCGAAATTTTTTTTTTCAAAACTTCTTTTGATTGGAAGGATTTTTTGGAAAAATGCATTATCATAAGTTCTTGTCAATAAAGCATTTAATTAAAATTTAACTTACTTTTTCGAGAGGAAATAATGGTTCGCCAATCATTATATAGTTTATTAAGAGAGTGCCTGAAGCATAAATTTTTGTAGAAATAGAGATATTGGACAATATAGGACAATATCTATATTTCTGCGATATTTGACAATATCCACAAAATTTCCTTTCTTAGTTTCCTTATTTATAAAATGTGATTTTTTTTCAAGAATTTTTTTCAAAAATTCGAATATTTCGAAATATTGAAATATTTTTCAAATAAAAGAAATATATTTAAGTTAAACTGCGGGAAAAATCGAATCATGAGAAATATTAGATTATAAAAAATATTATTATTTATGTTAATATCACATAATATCATATTAATATCATATTATTATAAATATTATTATATATATATTAATATTATTAATATATTCCGGAAAATATTATGAAAAATATCATAAATACCCGATTTTTTTAGAGTTTTCGGGAAATATTTCACAATCGAAGATTTCATAAATACATCACTTGGACATTTAGAAATTTTTTCACTTGTATCACAAGCATCCAGAAAGATAACATCGAATTTCTTTCCTGAAACATAATACTGTAATTTTCAATTTACTGTTAATTAAATGAGATACCTGAAATCTTGCTTGAAAATATATTTCAATTAAAGTTATCGCATGATATTGAACTTCCATCCTTAGGCTGAGAATTGAAGTTTTATTTAATCGAGAAATTATTAAGATAGGTATTTGTAGGTAATCTTTACATAGAAAAGTATTTAGGTATGCATTTTTACCTCTTTCAGCGAATTTCCTTATAAGTTCGGCACCATCTCCGACAATACATCGTTGCCTGTCGTCTTCGATTAAACCAAAGTAAGTTTTTGCCAAATCCACCATTTTCTTATTGATTTCAATGATCGTGATGTTGGTCTGCAATAATGATTATCGATTTCACTATATTCCGATTGATATTTTTTCAGTATTTTCAATTATTTTTATTATTTTAGCATTAAACAATCTGCCTTTATTTGTCAAATCTGCTTTCATTTACTGACATATGGAACCTCAAAATATAAAATAGCGAGATTATAAAGACTAGAAACAGAACGAAGGGCTTCAATAATTTAAGCATTACACCATATTTTACACGGATTTTACACGATTTTTTCGCATATTGAAGGAAGTATTAGCTGAATATCTCAAAAATTACCATGTAAAATTTATCAAGCTGATTAGAATGAGAATTAGTATGAGAATTAAACGAATATTAGAGCCAATTAGTTCAGCCTTATTCTGATCCAAAATTGTATACAAAGTTTTAAATAAATAATTACATTTTTTGTTATATGTCGGAAGAAATTGTTCAAAGATCCCCCACCGAGTCCAATGGAGAGAATATCAGCATAAATTGACTGGTTGGTACTTATCGCTCCTCCTGCGTATGCTGCTGCTATCATATATGCTATATAAGTTGCACCAGCATATGAATAATCGATAGGCCATTTAGTCGTGTCGATAGGCCATATTAGATCTTAAATTTACAACAAGTTTAATATTAAATTGTAATTGTTTCAGGTGATAGAAATGATTTGAAAGCTTTTTCTATAAATCATAATTTACTTGTATAACATATGAAAATAATAATTCTAAACGTACGATCTGGAACCATAACTCGAATAGTTGTATGGACTACTATGCCACTTTCTATTAAATTTCGTTCTATGTACCTAAAAAAATTTTTTTGTGTAATTTTGCTTTCCTTTTTCTAGCAAAGTACCAAATTGTATTGCTATAATTTAATTTATATAGTCCTCCTTATCTCAGAATAAGAAGCACTTTGCTATAGTAGAATGAAAGCAGCATGAATTCCAATTCAGTCTTTCAGACCTTGGTAGATTTTAGCACTTATCTATTCTACTAAAATATTGCACAGTTAATTAAAGATTCCGCTACAACCAAAGCGGGAATGGTGTATTCGATTAGAAGAAACCACTGAAACTTATGTCACCATAGAATACAAGTCATGATCATCATTACATTTAAAGACAATACAGATTATTCAGTCGCTTTAAAAATTTGTGGAATTATGCAGATGATTTAAAGAACATGGTACCAATTATTAGGTCCATATAAGATGACATCAACGACTCGTAAGAAAGAAGCATTTGATTGATAAATTACGAAATTTTCACCAATTCTCAGTATATCTTCTCGTTTATGCGTCCTTTCTTTTTTTCCATTTGATTCCATTTGATCATACTGAATAGCAATTGGTTTTTTCGCCTCGATCAAACCATATTTGGACCTTTTCAAGCCAGTTTGATTTGTATTATTTATTTCTAGTTTATCGCTGCCATGGGATATTTTGCATGCCTGCAAGAATAAACGATCTTCTATCGCTTTGTACCCAATTTTTTATTTTTTCGATTTGCTAATGCTAACCATCTTAATCACTTCCTAAGAACTATAAAATATTTTAAAAAACATTGGTCAAAACATACCAACAATAGGAAAACTGATGAAATGCATAGCGAAAACATTAAATTTTTCCAGAATAGTTTTATCAAATTTAAATTCTCTGAAAATTTCTTTGAATTTAATTTAAATTAAATTTTCAAATTTTTGAATTTAAGTTTAAATTATGAGTTGAAATTTGGGTCGTAAATGGTTTATAAATCAAATTTTGTAGATCTATAGGACCATCAAAAGAACTCGCATTGTATCGAAAATATATTATAATTCTATTTAAATATATCGCCTTTATCCGTTCAAGGTAATCTATTTCTAGGAAAATTCGAAATTTTCAATTGAAACCTATGAGACGAATTCTCTTAAAGCTTATGAATCTTTCTTCGTACAACGATTGAGACAAATAATAAAATAAATAAAAATAAAAATATAATGAAAAAATTAAATGAAAAATGAAGGAAAAAATAAGAAAATGAAAATATATTCATTCATCGGTGCAAGCATTTTTATAGTTTTATAAGAAATTATCAATGAAATGTATAGCATAGTAAAATGAAATGCAACAATATTGTTACAAATCTTTTGCTATTGCTTATCAATGCTGATAAAAGCATTCTGAAGCTCTGCGTATGTGCTACTGCCACTTAGAAATATTTCCAAATTCATTTTGCGGAATCTATTTGTGATTTTTTGAAAAATTCAGTCAATATTGAGTCAGCGAGTTAATTTCATTTTTCTCAAATAAAAAATTTACATTTCATTTTTTAATAATTATTTTCGGCGCACTTTTTTCTTATATTTTATAAAACTCCAATTATAAACAATCATATTAATACGTAGCTCGTTCAATCCATAAAGATTCCTAGCAGAATTATCAGATGATAGTGACAATTTGAAAGAAGGTGAAGAAATAAATGACTGCTGAATCATGGCCTATAATTGCATCGAGCGTATAGACGGCCCAATGTATGGGTGGAAAAAATAGTGCGAAGCCGAAATCGAAACCGATCTAAAATACTTACCAATGGCCAATGGAATAAACTTATTAAATAATATGCAAAATATACATTTTTAACTATCTCACATTGCTATATAAAACAAAAATTTATAATTTTCATAAATAGTGCCGTTTTTTTATAAAAAGTTAACTTGCTGGATTAGATGAATTTTTGCCATGGATTCAACTGGATTCAGTTGCTGATGGAAGTGCAGCAATAATATGGAGCAAACAATGAATTATTAAATTTTTATCAAGTTTAGAGGTTTTTCGTAAGGTTTTTTTTTAGAAAAATTGTCATGAACTCTTTTAAAAAAATATTCTTTCAGTTTTAAATTGCAAAATTGCGAAAAAAACGAAGAAAACATATATAGTGAAAACATATATATAATGAAGAGATTCATAGCAATTTTGGATTATTCGATTATCGCCTAAAGCAATTTTCATTTTATTTCCAATTTTCCACTTTTTTGAAACTTCTTCATTCCATTTTCATTAATTTTCTAAACAATATCGAATATCACTAAATTTTGCTGTCGTACTAAAATTTCACTAGAAATAATAATAATTTCTTAGCCATAATATTATAATATTGTCAATTATCACCATCGTTGTCCATGCGTTCTGCATATTCTTTAACGACTTAGAAAATTGCAAGCATTTTATAGGTATCGATGAATCACATGCAAATTCTCATTGGTCGATGGATCATATAAAATGCATATTTCTACATATTTACTATTAATTTTCAATATAAATTAAAATTTTATTATAAATTTCAATAATATATTATAATATATTTATATTATAATAATATATTATAATATATACAATAATATATTTTCGATTATATATTGTAATGTAATCGATATGATATTTATATTATAATATTTTTAATGCAAATCAGCTCAGATTAATTCCAGTAAAATCCATTTGATTATTCTATGTTGTGTTAGGTACTCTATGAATAGTTAATTTTATATCGACTGATTAAAATCGACTGATTAAAATTTCTTCCGCAAATTTCGTATAGAATGATTTTGTTAAGCTTGAAAGCGGCAATTTTTCCATCGTGTTGAATTGATTAAAACAGTTTAGTTAAACTAAACGAAAGCCAAAGATATTATTTTGGCAAAATTAATGGGCCTTGAATGGGCTATGAAAGGAGTAATTGATGCGCTATTCTCGCTCGTTCTCGATTATGCGAAATATTTGCTAAATAGAAAAATAAAAAAATTAAATTGAATATTGCCAAAGTTGCTGAAAAATTGCTCAATTATAATTTTTTTAAATAGAAATATGCCTTTTAAAAGCTATGCTATTTTCCCAGCAATCTTAACAAAATGCTACCTCAACTTTTTCAGGTTTCATATTAATTTTGTGTGGAAAGAAACAAAATATTTTTAATCCACCGAACATTTGGCTTAGTTGTTTGGGTTTATTGCTGAATTGGGAGCCTATGCTGAGGTTCAATTCCCTGCAGGAATAAAGCTGTTGTTGAATTCAAAGCTGGGCTTCTATTTCCCTTAAACCTGTCCAAAAATCTGAATGATGCTGGTAATTCACCCGTGTTTCTTCGTCAAAGGACTCTCTGGCTAGCGACTCACCTGTATTTCTGTCTCCCATGCACATTTCACCAGTACGACAAACCAGAGGATCGAGTTTAACCAGTAATGGTGAGGACTTTTCAAAAAAAGAACTAAATCATCATCAAAATCATCTTATAATTTGAATTTCTGTTCGTTTGGTGCCTATATAGTTAATTGAGGATTCTCTGAACTAATCAAAAGTTAATCATTTCATATGGTAGCGTATTTACAAAAATTTTAAACAGAGTCGCTTCTGCCGAGTTGTATTAAAAAATTAAATATTCATAGCATATCAAGCGAAATGAATTTTCGAAAACTCTATGCCCATTTATTTGAATATATTAAAACATAGGAAATCTGCGAAAATATCATATCATATCAGTTTTTTGTTGCGAAAAAATTATGTTGCTTGGTTCAATTATTTTGGTAAGTTTTTTTAGCAGTGGCAGTGCAAATGAATTGTTTTCTATCTGACTTAAGGCTTAATTACTGGTTGATAAGGAAGAGTATATATTTTCTCTAATATTTCGAGTGTTATTAGAAATCACCATTAATACTATTTTAAGTGAGCTGCTGGTGAAATGATCTGAAATGATCTCACCCAGTTCAAGCTCTTCATTAATGAAGTATGATGAAGCCAACTGAATGATCGCGTAAAAAAATTTAGATAATCTTGCAATGTACCGGTGTTCTGAATATTACAAAATTTTTTGAACTTGGCCAAATTTTCGAAGATTTTGGATGTTTATCGACTAACTTCATGTGCGGCAGAAATATGATATTTCGCACAATTCAACGAGAAGCCACATCCCATTCATTTATGCCTGCAAAATGCTTGCAACGTTGTTCATGTGTTGATATAAGACACTCAGAAGTTAAGGGACAATGTATTCAAATATTATCTGATAAGTATATCGGAAATGAAAATGCAACTTTGCAGGTAAATTTTTTTGAAAACCTCTTTCGAGGAAATTTCTATTAAACTGATGATTTTTTCCATTGGGGATAGAATGGCTCAGTGGGTTGTTGCTCAATTGGGAGTGCCGATGCTGAGGTTCGATTCTCCGCAGGAGTAAATTTGCAGGAGTAAAAATCCGAGTGATGCGGGCGACTCACCTGTATTTCTATCGCCAGGGAATCCCTGGCGTATTGCCCAATGCCAGTGGAGCGAGTTTAACCAGTAATAGTGGAAATTCTTTAAAAAAAATTTCCATTGTTTGCAATTTCGCTGGCTGGTCAAAGTGAAATTGATAAGCGCGTTCAGAGGAGGAAAGAACTTAGGAATAATGCGCCTTTAAAGTGAAAAACTGCTATTTTTAGAATAACCAAAAAATTTTATACGCAAAATAATTTCTTCTTCAGATAATGCAGCGATGTGATATGATAAATAAATTACAACTAGGATAAGGAATAGCTATTAAAAACAGGAAAAATTCCGAAACTTTATAAATGAATAGGATTGGCCAGCTGTTGACTGATTTTACTGCATTTACGACCTATTCGCCATTTAAGGAAAAACCTTACGAGTTGAACAAATTCGTAATCGATTTTGACTGCAGTTTAATCGGAAACGCTTGTGGAAAAAATATGGTACTCCAAATATTTTCAAAGGTCGATGGATCTTGTATCCACAAATGTGTTTGTGAGGAAAATTTTATGGAAAATGATACAGAATGCATTCAGTGTGTTTTGAACAAGGATAGTGGTAACCATTATTCAACGGTTAGCTTTTCATTCCTCATTTTAAACGGAATTCGCCGTCGTTTCCAAAAGAAAATGAATTAAAAGGCTCAACAAAACCACCATTTGCAGAAACATATTCAGAACACATTCAGATTTATTCCGGTGGCTTGTCAAACAGACTAGAAAAACGCCAGGAAATCCCTTAACGATAGAAGTGCAGGTGAATCGCCAGCACAACCTCGATTCTTGGCCAAGTTTAATCTTGCTAGGATATCAGCATTTGTGCTACAAATTGCACAATTACTCACTGAGCCATTCCACTCTCCTTTGCTCTTCTCCATCAAAGCCCGATGAAGACTGGTGTATCGTCAGATTGAGGGCATTCATTTGTAGGTAAAGCAGGTCAGGTTTCCTGGAGTTTTAGTAGACTTTACTTATATTAGGAACAACCTTGGTACTTGGGATAACAATCTAAAGAGCAACGACTCGGCTACATACTTATATGAAAATATAAAAACTTTTCATCATTTTTCATCATTTTTCATAAAACGTCTGATTATCCTATAATTATCTAAATTAGCATTGGCATTTACATGCCATCATCAATTCTTTGGCTGGAATAACTATCATTTAAAAATAAAAAGTCGAAAAGTTCTAAGAAATTCACTTGTATTTTTGTGAAAGAATGGTACCTTAATAGCCACTGGAATTGGTCATATCAAACTCATACTCATACTTGCCTATCTATAATACTATAGTATAAAATGAAGGCGTTAAATGCTGAAGGCACAAAATTTATCAAATTTCTCAATTTTAATTTGATGAAAACAATTCCTTTAGGTTACGCCTTTTCCCTCCTTGCAAACCTATAGCTTGGGCCAACGAATTTTTAACCAAAGGTGCGCTATAAGTAATCGAAGATGCGGCAGCAATATGATCTTTATAAGTTTCAATCATCCAATATTTGCATATTGCATCCAAAAATGCGTATGCGATCGAAATTCAGAGGAAAAAAATGGCGAATGCGTCACTATATATAATTCAAAATGTGCTAAAAATCGAAGGAAGGTTTCATTTTTTCTTCTTTTTTTTTGAAAAAAATTGAAAAAATCTACTATTAAAAGTGAAATCCGAGTAGCTGCCATAGATCTTCGAACCAAACCTGAACGATTCTTTAGTCGCATAATACTTCTCATCTAAGTCTTCAAAAGAGTTCGCGTAACCGAGAATTCTATTTGAGTATTAGAAGAAAGCGATGAGACGAAGATATCTATTGCTAAAATACACTTTAAATACACTTACACTTATATACTTTTAGAGTAAAGCGATAGAAATGAGTTGCTTACGAGCTGGAACGTGCAACCTAAACGAAATATTTCACGAAATAAGTTGCATACAATTACGACGTTCCTGTGGACCAAATATGGAACTAATTATAATTGACAAAAGACTTTCTTCTACCAGCAAACGTTGGAAATGTGTTATGCAATGTCAATGTGTGCATGGATATATTGAATCAAACGGTCGATGCACCAAAATAACCAAAAATTTGGTGAATTTGACAAATGATTCATTCTTTGAAATGATTAAATGCACAAATTTTTAAATATTATTGCAAAAATATTTTTCATATTTAAATCTGACCTAATCAATTGGTCCATTTTATAATATGGAATTGAAATTTAAGGAAAAAAAAATTTGGTGCTCGATTTTCAATTTTCAATATTTCCTCCATCACAAGTTATTGCTCAATTTCTCATTGAAATTTCAGAGAAATGCTCATGAAATAAATATTTAGAAGGAAAAAATTATTTGCTTACGAGGAGAATGCGCGCTTAACGAAATAGTTCAAGACATAAGTTGTTCACTAAATGGCCTCTTCTGTGGACGGAATATGAAATTCGCTGCAATCAGTCGAACACCGCACTTTCATCATTATATTTGTATTGTACAGTGCAAATGTGCAGAGGGCTATGAGGAACAAAATGGCGAATGCATTAGACAAGATGGAAGAACGAGTAGAATAAAAAATATTGTGAGGAACTAATAATTTCATTTTTCTAAAATATTATGATAAAAAACTATTTGCTTGATCCTGTAACATTTAGAAGTAATTAAAACAATTAGAATTAATAAATTTTAGTGTTCCGAAAGCGGCTGTGAAGCGGGGAGGATAATTCATGATGAAGGATGCCATTTGACTGGAGAGAAATGTGGAAACAATATGATATTCATGGTAGTTAATGGTGGAGTTCATCGTAGATATTCGATTTATTGCACACAGCGATGTAGTTGCATAAATTCTGATTTTATTGAAAGAAATTCTAGCTGCATGAGAAAAAGTATCACTGCTGATTTATCGGTTACCACTTCGCATTATGCCATTACTGATGGAATGCACGATTTTAAAGTATTGTATTTTTTGTATACTTTTTCTTATCGCTTTCATTACTCCCATTAATTTGCCTCTCATTTTTTTGCACAAAATTTCAGCTAATGAAACCTAACAATGTTGTAGGAATATATAGTTTGTATGTAACGATAATGGTTGAGAATAATTTACAGGGGCATACAAAAAAAGGCTACAATCTTGGTGAAGAGATTTCTGATCTCGGTTGTCGCTTAAGAAATCTTGAATGTGGAATCAATAAGAAATTCATTACTGTTGAAGAATTTTCTGCCGAACACGATCCAAATATTAAAGGATGTATCGAACGGTGCAGCTGTATTTTGCCGCGACCTGATGGTTGCATGCAAAATTTCTAATATTTTTATTTTATTCGATATAAATTTTTAATTTTTTGTATGTTTTTACTTCTTATAATAATAGGCAATATATTTTGGTCTCTTATATTGGACAAATACACCAGTTATCTGCGTTTTTATACCATTTAAGACCACTATTTTTTATACCGTTTAGAAACAAATCGATCATTATCGCATTGAAGGCTAAATCAAAATCAAAAGAAAATCTTCTTCTAACAACTTCCACCATTACTGATTAGGTTAACCACTGGCTACCAAGATAAGACGTCGTCAAGCCATTCGGTCCAACGCCATCACTAATAATAATAGGAGCCATTCCTTTTTCTTGAAAAAAGGGAGAAGAAAATCTAAAATAATACGGAAAATCTAGGATAATAGGGAATTATCGATCATATCAATTTTTGTGAATCTTTATTCCTTTATTGTTTAATTTTGGAGAAATCGAAAAAAATGTGATAATGTTGGCACTGTTTGGGGAAACCTCTATTGGTATCATCATTAATTTTGCGTCGAATACAACTAGCGATATTTATCTTAAATTACACGTTTTTCATTAAAATATTATATAATAGTAATTTTAGCATAAGTCAGTTCAGCAGGCCTGCGAAATAAGCTTTCTCATTTCCTCATGCTCACTGTGCATTCCAAACCACGCCATCGCAAAATTTTTTGAAAAGAATATGATAGTTTTTTTCTCCTCATTTTTTCAAATTTTTAATAGCTAGGTGGGAATATATATAAATATATATATGTGATCGAAATATTGTAAAATTTTTTCTGAGGTACCACAGGCTAATCATTCGAAATGTTGTTCACCAGGTATTTATATTTTAACAGATTCTTTCAACCATAGCTGTATGAAATACTAAAATACTCCATTACTGCATGAAATACTAAAAATTTTATAGTTTCCACCTAAAACAATTGCTCCATACATCTGAAATGATAAATTGTATTTGATATGATATATATGAGAATGATTGATGTTTGGAAAAAATGTGAACGATCATGAAGTCGATCATGAATTCGTTAAATTCCTGACGTTCTACACAGTTACAATTAAGGTTGCAATAAAAAGACATCTTTTTTTTATTTTTTTTCATTCGATATATCATGAAAACCAGTAGATAAATAAAAGACACTACATAATAATTTTCATATTACTAATTACTAATAATGCATAGTTAATAATGCATTATTCCTTCCAAGCATATTTTTGGCTTGGTCACTAATGACCATTAGATTGAACCCATTTTGTGAAGAATTCACTGGGATAGGGCCTGAAAAGACTTATTTGTACGAAAGTTCTATGATTGAACTTTTTTCCAACAACTGTTGCAACTGTTGTACTATAAATTTATTTTTAAACTTATTTTTTTGTTTGGCATATATTTTGCATGGCTGAAAACAATGGATCAATTATTTCTTTCATAATATTTAAGAATTGCACAATTAATTGCAAAAATAATATCTTTGGCTTGATTAGTGCATCGGCTGTTCGTTGCTTTTGGTATCAGTTTGGTAACAGTATGTATCGAGTGAGCCCATTTCATCAAATGGTCCCTAATGCAACTTACAATAACAGAGAAAAATTTCCACATTTACACTTTTCGTTAAGCAACATAAATTGAATGCGACAAAAACTGTTAATTCCTTTTTGATTTTATTTTCGTTAATTTAATATAATTTAGTGTAAACAATAAATCAGCTTAGAGTTTTCGAAAATTCATTTCCATTATCCATGTGTTCCATGATTAAAATCCATGAAACGTATGAATATTTATAATAACAAATTTTTTTAAAAAAATTTATTAAATATATTTCTGAATTAATTTTAAAATTTTTAAATATATCTTTTAAATGAATTTTGTAATTTATAAATAAAAATGTGAAAAATTCGGACGAAAATCTAATAAATTTCTTGAAATTGGTGTTGAATCGAAATTGAAATTTTTTATTCTTTTATTTTATAAATTACAAAATGAGTTCTTTTATTCTTTTATTTTAGTTTTTTTTTATCTGACAGTTTCGTTGAGAAAATTAATTTAAATTTATGGAGCACCATTTGCTTCAAATTGTTACCGGAAAAGTACCACTATGCTTCGCTCTTGCAATAACTGAGCCAGTTTGGAACATGTTTGTACAAAATTGAAATTCAAAATGATTGTTTAGGTCTTTCTCGGCGGAAAATTCTTTAATTCCTATTTAGCGAATGCGGAACCAGCTGATCGGCCACTTCGTTTTGCTAGCTAAAGTTATTATAAGTCTTGCAAATTATTGTTTAATTAGATATATTAAGGTTGTGGGTTCGATTTTCTCCAATTTTCTTCTTCGAACGGTCTGAGTTTTCATGTTTAGGTTTTTTCGTTTCTTATTGTCAATCTATCATGTAATGCAAATTCAAGAGAGTTTCGGCCAAATTTTCGACCAAATTTCATTTGCGGCAGGAAAGTGGCAATTGAGCAAGACGACAGATGTGTAGATAAAAAATATTTAGAAAATAATGGAAAGCATATCAAAATACATTGTTAACCTATAGAAATAAATGCAGGTGAAAATTCTATTAAAATCTTATCGGTTGGCATTGCTAAGGTTTGGTTAAAAAGTGAATCGGTGCATGGTTATAGAAATAATGAAGAAAGATCAAAATTCATCGTGATCATTGAGAGAATCTAAATTTGAGTGTTAAAGACGGTTGCGCTGGCTATAAGGAGACGAGACTGATTGATAGGTCCATTGCTATCGCTGACAGTAATGAAAGCCATTCCTTTTTCCACCGTCTATGTTCATATATCGTTCAAATTCTTTTATGGCTGCATCAGACCAGGTCTTGATTAGCCCATCTCGCTTTGACGCCATCCATCACAGAGTTTAGAATTTATGAAACGCGGTATAATTGTTTTAACAAACAGCTGAGTATGGAACGAAGTACCATCACATTAAAAAGTGGTAGAATGGCTTAGTGAATTGTTGCTCAATTCGAAGCGCCGATGATAAGGTTTTTTTCTCGACAAGAATAACCGAGCCTGTCCAAAGATTGAGCTGGTGATTCACCTGCATTTCTATCGCCAAGGGACTCTCTCGCATATCTGTCTAGCCAGCGAAATGGGTCTAACCAGTAATAGCGAGTTTCCTTTAGCAAAAATGTAGCAGAGAGCGATTAATATGAATAAGAGGATCTAAGCCAACCAAAAATCAAAATCATTTCAGGTAATTTCCGAAATAAAATTCAAATTCAGTCATACACAAAATTATTATTCATAGAATTTATAAATTCAGAACATATTTAATAAAATTGAATAATTTTCGAAAACTCTGAGTTATTTCATTGATTCTATTAAAATATGTATAAAATCAGTGACAATAAAATTAAAAATTATTATGTCACTTATTATCAATCAAATTATGCGACTTGGTTCTATTATTTTGGTAAGCTTCTATAGCAATAATGATAATTTTAGCAAATTACTTTTTTATTACTTATTACTTTTTAATAATTACTTTTTTTCGTCTTAAAGCTGATAAGACTAATTACTTGCTGATGAAGCAGTAAATATAATTTCGTCTCTATATATGTTCTGAATTTATGAAATTAGTCTTAGGGAACATGTTTAACTCTATCTTTAGGTGAACCATTGGCACTTTCTCGGCACATTCCGCCAGACGATTTGTTAAAGCATGATGATACTAAAAGAATGAGAATGACTACCACTAAATTGTATTGTAAATAAATTAATTTAGGTAATCCTGCAATATTCTACTGTCGATGTTTTTCATATAGGAGTTTTTAAACTTGGCCAAATTTTCGAAGATTTTGGGTGCTTATCGACTAATGTCATGTGCGGCACGAATATGGTATTTTATAAAATTGAGGAAGACGATACGTCACAATTGTCTGGAAAATGCTTGCAACGTTGCTCATGTTTAGATACAAAATATTTAGAAATTAATGGAAAATGTGTCCAAGTATATGATCAAATTATCGATACGAATGCAGTTTCACAGGTAAATATTTCTGAAAATTTAAAATTTAGTTCAAAGAAATTTCGATTGATATTCAATGGGTTTGTATTCCTGGAGAATAGCCGATTCTGAGGCTTTATTTCCCATTTGAGTGAATTTTTTAAATAATCCGAGTAATGCTGGTGGTCTATACTTCTATCGCCAAGCAGTTCTGTGGTATATTTCTCCAGTGTGGTAAGGCAAGTCTAACTAGTAATGGTAAGAGCTCGTAAAAAAAAGTTTGTTTCTTTAGTGGAACTATTTCTTACAATGGAGACCTTTACAGTTGAGAATTGCTTAGAATATTGATATTAATGAACCATAAATAGCACCATAGAAGCGTCTTTTCTCTTTGGTGAAAATAAGATTCATTACTGAAAACCAATCCAATTAGAACTCATCATTCCCACCTGAAGTGACTTTATTAGTGAAATAATCTCATTTTTATTGTTTAAGTTAAATCAATAATGGCAAGCGCTTTTAATAGTAAGAAAAAACGGAAAATGTCTTACTATAGTTTAATTAGTATGAGTGAGGTGGTTAGGAATAATAACTAGCAAAATAGCCAGCAAAATCTTCTCCGGAAATTTATAGTTGAATCAATAGGTTTAATCTGCTAGCGACTGCTAATCTGCTAACACTAATTTGCATTCTAATGATAAATGCTAATGATAAATGATAATATTTATTGTATATATGTCACTTTGTTGTTTAAGAAAGAATTACTATACGAATTGGTAAATGATTCCGAATGTCGTTTGGTCGGTAGTAGCTGTGGAGAAAATATGGTGCTCCAAATATTTTCTAAATTTAACGAATCTTGCGTAGACATATGTGTTTGTGCAAAAAATTTTATGGAAAATGATATAGGATGCGTGCAATGTGATTGGGACGAAGATAACCATGACGATAATGATGGTGATAATAATGATAATATTAGTTCAACGGTTAGCTTTTTTCCCTTTCTCTCTTTTCATTTTAAATAAAATTTGAGCATAATTCACAAATATTTTCGAAAAAAAATAAATAAAAAGATTGCCTTTCTTTATCAAAAATACAATAAAAAATATAACAAAAGAATGTTACAAAAGAGTGTTGTTTAGTTTTATTGGCAAATATAAGTAAGCAATCAGATTTACACTGTATGTTAATAGGATCAGAAATTCCGGTTTTTGACAGGAATAAAATCACAATAAAAAATAATATGAATATAATGGTGAATTAACCATAGGTTATTCTATGGAAGAATGTCACCGTATTAGCTAATGAAGCTAGTGAAACGATAGTTTTGTTACAAGGTAAAAGAAATAAATTAAAATATTCAGATAGTACGTGAAATATTCAGCAAATCGTAAATTTTTTCGAAGAATTTATGATATAACTGATATCTATTTTTTGAACCGACAGCTATAGATTAAAGCACGAAAAGAATCAATTTTATCTTAATTTTAATTTATAATTTATAAAAAATTAATTTATAAAAAATTTTTCAGACCACTTCTTATCCCTCCATGCCACCCTATAGATTAGGTCAAAGAGTTTTTGATGCAGTATGTTCTTTACGCGACCAGAGTTGTGGCAACAATATGATCTTCGAAACCATCCGTTACTCAAAACATGCATTTTGCACTCAAAAATGTGTATGCGATCGTAATTCAGAAGAAAAAAATGGAGAATGTGTCATTACAAATAATTCAGAATGTGCTAAAAATCGAAAGAAAACATTGGAGAATGTATATTATTAATTATAAAATTAATTTTTAGTAAAAAATTTGAGTCTTATTGAAATTAGAATTTTGTTAAACCCATAAGGACATTGGTCATTTAAAGTGTGAGCAGTTGGTATAGACATGCATATCAATCGTCGGATGGTTGTTCAATGAAAAAATCCCATCAGAACACTCGACGGTCAATCAAACCACAAATTAAATCTGTTGAACCTGCTGAAAATTTAAGTGCATGCTAGGAAATTCCTATAGACCAAATATGTTTTAAGAGGAATAAAGTGGAAATAAGATATATTCGAGCTGGAAAAAGCAGGCTGAACGAAATATTTCACGAAATAGAATGCATGCTAGAAAGGCATTCTTGTGGACCAAATATGGAACTGGTTGCAATAGGCCTTTCACCTGGAAACAAGGATTCGAAATGTATTATGCAATGCCAATGTGCTTATGGATTTATCGAAGCAAACGGTCGATGCTCTAAGATAATCAAAAATATCGTGAGCTTAATAAATATTTTATTTTAAAAATATTCCCAAAAATATTTTTCAGATTTATATCTGACTTGATTAATCTCCGTTCATTCCCCGTGGTGAATTTGGAAACAAAGAAAATAGCACCTCGAACACCATTTCAATAATAAAATTTACGCTCCTCATATATTCCACCGTGAAACAATAGAAAAGTGCTTCAAAAACTAAAACTTATTTAGGATAAAAGAATTAATTGCATGCGAGGAAAATGCATTCTTAATGAAGTAGTTCAAGACGTCAGTTGCTCATTAAAAGGCCAATTCTGTGGACGAAACATGAGATTCGTTCTAATCAAACAATCCGTGGTTCGTCAACATTACATTTCGATTGGGAATTGTGTTGTGCAATGCAAATGTGATAAGGAATATATTGAAAGAAATGGCAAATGCATTAGAGAACAAGGAAAAACGACCAAAACGAAAAATATTGTGAGTTTCAAAACTAATCTTATTCTTCTAAACTATTAAAATTAAAAATTATAGTAAAGAAAATCGAATTGAATGATTTAAGCATATTTTCACGTTTTATCAAACAAAAATAAAATCCAACATAAAATAAAATTCTTTTGCAAAAAATTTCCTAAATTTTTCAAATCGGTTTTTCTGAATTTTTAGAAATTTGAATGAAAATCTTGGAGTTTATTGTTTTAGTGTTTTGAATAATGTTGTAAAATTTCCAATAAAAATATAAAAAAAAGAAAAATGGTAATGCAGAAAATTATAGTGTTTATTGGAAAACGGTTGTGAAACTGGGATGACAGTTCATGATGAAGGATGCCATTTGACTGGAAAAAAATGCGGAAATAATATGATATTCAAGGTGGTCAATAGTACAGTTCGTAATGAAACATATTCGATTTATTGCACACAGCGATGTAGTTGCATAAATTCTAATTTCATATATTCTGAAAGAAATTCTGGCTGCGAACAGCAAAGTACCACAGTTTCTTCACCGACTACGACTTCGCATAACATTATTACTGTTGGAATGCACGATTTTGAGGTATTTTTTATATACTCCTTTTTTATTGCTTTCATTATTTCCGTCAATCTATTTTATTCCCTCCTCTTTATTTTGAGTTTTTATTCAAATATATAATTTTAAAAATAATTTGCAGATGTATATAGGAAAAGAATATAATATTGGCGAAGAAATTTCTGATCTCGGTTGTCGTTTAAGAAATCGCCTATGCGGAATCAATAAGAAATTCATTGTTGTTGGAGAATATGCTGCTGAACACGATCCAACTATTAGAGGATGTATCGAGCGGTGTAGTTGCATCATGGCGGGACCTGGTGGTTGCATGCAAAATTTCTAATTTTTTATTATAGTTTCTAAATCTTTCGAAATGGTTTTTTCCTTCTATAATAGGTGGTACCATTTTTTGCCCTGGTCAGTTCCATTGAATATAATAACTTTAGACGAGAAAGTAGAAGATAAATACGCTTCCATCAATCATTTGGCTTTTTATGTTCCATTTAAGAGCAAAAATAAATCGATTCTTATCGCATTCTTGTTCAAAGCCAAAGAAAAATATGAGGATTTCCAAGGAAAATAAGATGCCATAATTACGCATAACAATTATTTTTGCGAATTCCGACTTTTAAGATTGCATAATTTTACGAAATCAGTAAAAAAAATCAGGATTGATCTAAAAAATATCTGTTTTTGATTTTTTTTTAAAGTGGTCATCATTTGATAATTTTCCCTTATCTCCTCATAACATTCATATTCAGTGCATATTATATACTATGAAAACCTGTAGACAAAGTTCGCAACCACCGCGATATTGATATTAACACTAATATTATCACTACGAATGCATCTAGCTATTCATGTTAAATAAATTTCTATTTATTGACTCTAGTATTTTTTTGACTTTATCAATAGCAAATACCAATTGACCCAGGTTAACTGATTAAGTGATTATTATATATATACGCGTGTGTATATTCTCGGAGAAAAAAACCCAAGAACTATATTATTGGAACCTATTATACTTTATTAGCGCATTGCGTGGCCTATCGTACTCCTCTGAAATGTATTAAATCCAGTTAACTTCTCTTATTTTCTCATAACATTCATATTCGGTGCATATTCTAGAATTTGTCTGAAAACATGAAAATTAAAATTATTGAAAATTAAAATTATTAAAAATGAATTATTTATTCTTTCAAAGTATTCTCGGTGAATGGAAGCAAATTTGCGAACGAAATATAAATGCATAATTTTTTTTAAAGATGCAAACTTAATTACTCAATTTTTACTCCACCAGAGCTTATCAAATTCTTCCGACCATAGCAATTTGACTCCATTTCGTCCTGAAATGCCAAAATACTCTTTATAGTCTTTCTCTGAAATAAAGAAAGCAATTGCTCTAAATATGGATTGTGTGATTTCTATTTGATATGCATGAGCGTGATATTTGGAAAAAGTATGAACGATTGTTAAGTGTGGTCGGTCATTCGTAAAAGCCTCCACGTTCTACGCATTTGAAATCAGGATTGATCTAAAAAATATCTGTTTTTGATTTTTTTTTAAAAGTGGTCATCATTTGATAACTTTCCCTTATTTCCTCATAACATTCATATTCAGTGCATATTATATACTATGAAAACCTGTAGACAAATAAAAGGCACTCGATAACTAATTTATATATTGATATTTATACTAATTCCTAATTCTAATAATAATAATTTATATAATTAATTATTTACTAATAATTAATAATGCATTATGCTCTTTCCAAGAGCATATTTTTTGGCTTTGTCACCGATGACCATTAGATCAAAAATTTGGCAATGTGATGCCTATTTTGTATGGAATTCACTGGGATAGGACCATTTGGATTTATTTATACGGCAAGCGTTGGTTAACATCACATTGCCAAATTTTTGATAAGATATGAAATTATCTTTCTTCAAGTTCATCTTATCTTTAAACATGGACTCCTTTATTTCTATGAAAGTTTCCAACAATTATTGCAATATACAATACAATTTAACTTTTATTATTCTGAATAGGATATATTTTGCATAGCCGAAAACAATATATCATTTATTTCTTTTAATGACATTTAAAATCAATAAAAATAAAATTAAAAAAATAATTTATTTTATTTGCCACAGTCGTATTAATCAAAATAAATTCTGAATGAATTAATTTTTTTTTATAACTTTAATTATATTCATATTTTTGATCTAATATAAGAAAAATTCCAATATTCTTAAGCAGAGTGGTGTTAAAGACCACGTTTAGTTTGTGTCCTTAAGTGAACCGCCGGTGAATCGCTTTTTTTGTTCGATGAAGCAAGCCAAACTAGAATGACAATGCAAAAAGAATACGATTAACTCGCATATTATCGCCGTGCAACAGAACTTTGAATTTGCCAGATTTTCGAAAATTTTGGTTACTTATTGCACAATTTGCATATTTGGGAAAAGCATTTTGCATATATAATTGGTCAAGCGAATGTTTAACTCATCGATGCCTGTAAACTGTTTGTTTTTTGCTTTCACCAAATGAATATGAGAACGATAGTGAAATATGTTATATCATTCATAATTCATGCTTCAGTTTTCATTGGTGCATAAAAAAATTATTGCGTTTAGTCGACCAAAAATTAATTCTTCCAACAGTTTCTATTTTTGATCACAACTGATCATTGAGCCAATTTTATAAGAAATTCATTTCGGATAAGATCGTATAAAGTTAAACCGTATCGCCTGTTTTTGTCAGGCATCGAATCATACTATGAGTAAAACTTTACTTTATACTTTATTTTCCATGTTTAGAATATTTTCCATGGTTGAAAAACAAAAAATTTTTTTAAACGCATCAATTATATCATTCATTCATAGTATTCAGTATTCATTGATATCTTTGGCTTTCTTTTGGTTTAACTAAAATCATTCTTGAATTAACAAAATTAGTTAGTTGTGTTAGTTAGTGATAGAAAATTGAGCGTTTTCAGGCTAACCAAAAGGCAGTCATTCCATACTACATTCATATTTGAAAAATATTATCGTAGTGATAATCGATAAAGTTGATCAAAGGAAAAACGATGCTTCTTATTATAAGAAGAAGAAATCATATCAGAATATATCGGATTGATATAGAAAAGATAAAGAATTTAGAGCTTATTGAATAAAAAACAAAAAGCATTAAAAATTATGCATGCAGTCACCAGGTCCCGCCATGATACAACTACACCGTTCGATACATCCTTTAATGTTTGGATTGTGTTTGGCAGAATATTCTCCTACAACAATGAATTTCTTATTGGTTCCACATTGGAAATTTCTTAAACGACAACCGAGATCAGAAATTTCTTCACCAACATTATATTCTTTTCCTATATACACCTGCAAATTGTTTTTAAAAGTAGCGTTGAATACAAACTACATATTCCTGCAACATTGTTAGGTTTCACTGATTGAAATTTCAACAATTTCATGCAAAAAAATGCAATACTTTAAAATGCACTCCATTAGTAATGGCATAATGCGAAGTGGTACTCGATAAATCAGCAGTGATATTTTTTCTCACGCAGCTAGAATTTCTTTCAATAAAGTCAGAATTTATGCAACTACATCGCTGTGTGCAATAAATCGAATATGTTCTACGACGAACTCCACTATTGACCATCGTGAATACCATATTGTTTCCACATTTCTCTCCAGTCAAATGGCATCCTTCATCATGAATTGTCATCCCCGCTTTACAACCGTTTTCCAAACACTAAAATTATTTAATTCTATTAGTTTTCTTACAAGATCGAGCAAACAATTGTTTATTATAAGGAGGTTAGTTTTTGAAACATAATATTCTTTGTTCCTCCATGTTGTCTCGTTTTTTCATGTTCTCCAATGCATTGGCCATTTTCTTCCTCATTGCCTTCTCCATATTTGATTTGCACTGTACAATATAATATCGGTGCGCGGATCGTTTAATTAGAACAAATGTTATGTTCTGTCCACAGAAACGACCATTCAGTGAACAACTTATATCTTGAACTATTTGATTAAGAGTGCATCCTCCTCGCTTACAAATAATTCCTTCCTTCTAATGCTTGAATCTTAAGACTTTTTCATTTTCAAACTGTTTCATGTAGTATCTGGCGGGCCATAAGCAGACTAACGTAGCATTTTATTGGGTGGTTTTTTTTTTTCTGTTTGATCTGAATTTCATCTTTTCAAGTGAACTTTCTTTCGATTTTTTTTTTTAAAGAGTCCTCATCATTATTGGTTAAACTCGCTACCCTGGGGTTGTCGCATTAGACGAATGTGACAGGGAGATTCTTGGCGAGAGACGTGCAGGCCATAAACAGACTAATGAAGCATTTTATTGCGCACCGATTCGTTTCTTCTGTTTAATTTCAATTTCACCTCGTCAATTGAACCGATTAATTCGGTTAAATGTGAAAAATGTTTTTATAATTATATTTAAATCTTATAAAGAATAAACTCATTCCAGCTGAGATTTTTTCCAAACTCGAATAAACAATTTCTTATACAATATTATTTTAGAAGGAAGAGAGGATATCTCACAGAAATCTCACAGAATTCTTATGCTTTCTGCATTGGCCATTTTCTTCCTCAAATCCTTCTGCACATTTGCACTGCACAATACACGATATATGATTATTCTTCATGGATTGTTTGATTAAAGTGAATTTCATGTTTCGTCCACAGAATTGATCTTTCAATGAACAACCGTTATCTTGAACTACTTCATTAAGCATACATCTTCCACGCATGCAATTCATCCTCTCTTTCTAAAAATAATTATTTTTTAATTAGTTTTTTTGTTTCCTTAAGTTTTTTTTCAATATATATATATATATGGTAAAGGAAAAAATATTTCGAAACAAAACATTTGTGGTAATATTCAAACATTTCGAAAAATAAAGCATTAAATTCACCACTCCTTTGATTATTTCAGAGCATCGATTGCTTGTTTCAATATATCCATAGACACATTGACATTGCATGACACATTTCCAACGATTGACATTATTGGAGGGCCTTTTGTCAATAACAACCAGTTGCATATTTGGTCCACAGGAATATTCTTGTAGTATGCATTGTATTTCGTAAAATATTTCGTTCAGCTTGCATGTTCTAGTTCGAATACACCTTATTTCTTTCTCTTTCCTCTTAAAACAATGTTTAAAATTTCATCCTTAAAATTTCATTCCTTATTTTTGTAAGGCATAATTAGACGTAATTTTAAGCATCTGGTTCGACAAACTTTTTTGACTGTCCCGGTACGATTCTTAGAAATCACTAGGCATTTGAAAATCGCTTCCTATAGCTGCCCAAATTCGATTTTTTTGCCAATTTTAAATTACCATTTTCAATGCTTTTCTTAGATTTTTGGCACACTCTGAATTACGTTTTGCGATACATTCTCCATTTTTTTCTTTTGAATAGTGATCACATACGCATTTTTGGATACAATATGCGTTTTTCACATTATTGATGGCTTCGAAGACCATATTGATACCACAAGTTTGGCCACTTATAATACATCTTTTATCATAAATCCTTTGGCCCAATCTATAGGTTTGCGTAGGATAATAAGAAGTGGCCTGAAGAAAATTCTTTTAAGAGAAGATTGAAAGAGTTGAGAAATTTAATGCCTTCACCGTACAGTTATAGGAACTGGTAGGCTAGCATATAAATTGTTTAAATCTTAAAATTTATGATTTAAATCTTAAACAAAATTTATGATTCCTAAACTCTTATCACTGCAAATGGTCTTCTTAATCATTTAGCGTTTATCTTTCGACCATCTCTATTGGCTTCATCACATAACGTCAGAAATACAAGTGGATTCATTCCCATTCATCATTTTATGATTGAAATGAGAAATCAAAGAATCTATGATGATTGCTGTTGACCTTTTAATTCATTAACCAATGACAATGGTAATTAGCCAAAGACTAAGCATTTTATACTCTCCTCCTATTTTTATATCGATGGACAGCCGAGCGATTGCTTTTCAGATTGTTGTTTCGAATACTAGGCTTATTGTTAGTTCCCAAGAGTATTAAACTGCGTATTAAAAGTCTTGCCTGTTCCACGAATAAATCTCTTCCATAGTAATTTCTCATTAATAGCTTAGTAGCTCAAGCAGCGAGCCTGGTGATTAGTAGTGACAATTCATTTAAAATTGCCACTAAAATAAACTTTCTATAATTCTATAAATTTTATAATTTTGCATATTTTTTATTTCAAAAATAATTGTGAATTTATTTAAAATGTTGAAGGAGAAACTGGCCATTGAATAATCGTTATCACCATTATCATTCGCATCATCTTCATCCCAATCACACCGGTCGCATCCTATATTATTTTGCACAAAATTATAAGCACAAACACATTTGTCGACGCAAGATCCATTAAGTTTCGAAATTATTTCGAACACCATATTTTCTCCACAACTTCTACCGACCATACGACATTCAAAATCATTTACCACTTTGTTTAATAGATACGTTTTTTTCTTAAATGGCAAAGAACAATAAATGTAGTAAATATTATCATTGATATTATTATCAATATTATTATCATTAGAATATAAATGTGCGATGGTCGGATTAATCCCACTGATTTAACTTTTAAATTCTGGAGTATTCTTATTGCCTATATCTTTTACCCTCATTGTTACTAATTAAAATAGCATTTATCAAAATATGGCATTCTTCGTATGAATATCTTTGGCATTGGCATTAAGCTACATTATCGTTAATTTTTTCCACCCATGTTAAAAGCATTTACCATTCTAGATAAGTCCTTAATATTATTTGGATCGGTCTTTCTATGAACTAGGATTTACTCGCATCAAAGGACAATGGCCTAATTTTTTTCTTTTTTAGGACCATCACTGGCTAGACTCGCTCTGGTGACAAATATGTCAGAAGAATTCCTTGGCGAAAGATGTACAAATGAATCGACAGCATCAGTATCGGCATTCCGATTTGAACAATAACACACTGAACCATTCTATGTCCGAATAAGAATATATTAGTTTATTGAATATTTATTAGTTTTTCACCTGTTTCGTTGAAATTTGATCATTACTTCAATAATCAGTCATCGTTTCATTTTTTAACAAACAACAGAAATACTTACCGATTGAATTTTTAACAGAATTTGTCTCGAAATGCATTTTCAAAAATGCTTACCTGCGAAGGTCCATTCGCATCCACAAATGATATTTCGACACATCTTCCACTAATTTCTAAATATTTTTTATCTAAACAAGAGCAACGTTGCCAGCATTTAATTGGCATTAGCGATGTGTCCTTCTCAATTGTATAAAATGCCATGTTCCTGCCACACACGATGTTAGTCGATAAGCAACCAAAATCTTCGAAAATTTCACCAAGTTGAAAAAACCGCATGAAAGGAACAACGGCAATAGAATATTGTAAGATTATCTAAATTAAATCGTTTAAGCGATGATTCAATGGTAGATAATTTCATTTTTTTAAAATTACGCTAAAATACTAAACAGTTTGCCCGTCTGCAATAAGTTATTTCTTCAGCGCTTACAAATAAAATTCGTCATTAAACCAACCGGATAGAAATAGAATATTAAAGAAAAATTTAGAACAGTTTTGGGTTAGAAAAAAGTTACCCCGTTGCAATTACAAGTATTATGATTATTCTTTAAAAAAACATACCAAATTGATAGTACCAAACAGCATAATTCCGTTATCACTATCATAACAACTGATAAACTATTTTTTTCGATGATTTTCTATATATTTTAATATAATCGACAAATCGGCTCAGAATTTTCAATGCTAGTAAAATCCATGCGATATTCTATGAATATGCAATGCAATGTTAAACGCATATGAGTAAATTTAAAATTTGTTTTTCGAATTTAATGTCGCATGGAATCATTTCCATTAGTTTAAAATCGCTAGAATTTTTATCAATTATTTTTCACCAAAACGGTTTCAGTTGAACGATAAATAATTGAAATTTTTTCAATTTTTTTCGAATTTCGAACAAATAATGGTTTCTGAATGTGATAATAAATATCGTGAATTGTTCCCATCCATACAAAATATATACTAAATGGAAAAAAAAGCGCAGAAGTCGAGTAGCATTTTGTTAAGGATTCTTGTATCCCTTTTCTTTATCAGAAATAAAGCCTTTACATTCATTAAATTTGCTATATAGTAAGTGGTCGCTTGTTAAAGGTGTCTGCCGTATATAATAATATCGCTATTTGTTTTGATCAACCCATCCATATATTAATTAGCTCCTTCCCTTATTATAATACCAAATCGCATTATAAATTTTCTTCCCTGAAAAAAACGAAAAATTTAGTTGTGGCAATGATTCGATGGCTGTGGAAAGCCTATCGTGGAACTAAGATTAGAGATCTCTCTCTGCAAACAGCGTGAAAAATGAGAATCAACAGAAAATATTTTATAACCATCAAGGAAATAATTGGCTATCGATCTTTTGATTTTACTTTGGACGATAGTAATAGTCGAAAAATGTAATGAGATATCTGATGGCCAAACTAACTGGTTTCAATAAAGGAGAAAGAATTCTTATTCTCGCGATAATTGTGCACGAAATGTCTTTTGAAGAAAAGCAATAAATGAATAATTTTCCTTAATTAATGGGCTATGAAATTTATGAAAGAATAGCAATCAGCACTATCTAGTTTGGCTGGTTTGGGCCATCTTTCCATTGCAAAGGAAACAGAATTGGGTCCATAGCACCAACAGGACTTCATCTTTAAAGACATGCGATTACCACTATGGAAAAAATCGTTGCAATTGTGGATTGATCTTTCTATTTGCAAGCTTGAACTAAAGTATCAAGACGGATCCAGAGAGCCAAGCGATATTCGTTCACGTTCCTAGTTTCTCCAAAAATCTTCATACATATATCGTATATCCTCATAAATATCATACGTCCAAGACGCAGAATGCTGTCTTTTCAGAGGAGAACTACTCGTTATATTTTTTTGTATTTCAGGATGAAATCAACTTGCCATGGCCACAGCCAAAAAGGCTTGATAAATGAATGATAATCCTGTATCATCCTCTTTAACGAATATTCTGCAATGTTGCGGTCGCGAATATATAATATATTCCATATATAATATATTCGCGAATAATATATTATATTCCATAAATTTCATTTCATAGATATATTCCAATCGGAGATTTAAATTAAATTAACTAGTAAAATAGCTTTGATAGGCGCATCAACGGAGTATAATGGGACCCAATGATGCAGTTACAGGATTATCATTTCTTTCTTTGAACTCATTTTTATATATCTGATCAATTAAGCCAATTGTTATTTATTATTGATAATAAAAAAACACTGGAATGATTGAATAGCAATTTGTTCATAAAACACCAAATACATTCGACGCAGTCGGATTTCTATCGCTAAGGGATTCCCTGGCATATTACTCAATGGAAAGCCAGTGGAGCGTGTTTAACCAGTAATGGTGAGGACCTTTAAAAAAATATTCGATGCAGTTATCGACATGAATAGCGCGATGATTTCATTAAACATGCGAAATTTTTTATTTTCTTTCACCGTTTTTTGACTTTTTTCTGTAAAACTAAGCAAAATGTCTTAACAATAAGAATTCTCATGGAAATTGATATGTTCGATTGAGATTCCATGTTATTCTTCTTTTATCCTCCCTTATTAATTCAGACATTTTTCTTTGCTCCTTTACTCGAAATGCGGATTAAGGGGTCGATTTGTTTGGCTTTAATAATAAAAATAAATGGCTGACCTATTTGCTATCAATCGCCTCGTTTAAGACTGTCATTCTAAATCGAGCCAAAACAGAATTGTTTTCTTTAATATTAAGAATAAGAAACCATTTTGAAGAATAGAGAAACGATAAAAGAAAAATTATAAATTTTGCATGCAATCACCAGCTTCCGCCAAAATACAGCTACACCGTTCGATACATCCTTTAATATTTGGATCGTGTTCGGCAGAAAATTCCTCAACAGTAATGAATTTCTTATTGATTCCACATTCAAGATTTCTTAAACGACAACCGAGATCAGAAATTTCTTCGCCAAGATGGTATTCTTTCCCTATATACATCTGCAAATTGTTTCTAAAATTAACGTTGAACGCATATTCCCTAAACAAAAAACGTACAAAAAAATGGAAGAAATATATTTATTATTATATGTTTATTACATATAAATATGTAATAAAAAGCAGAATAATGAGAGTAATGAAAGAAATAAGAAGAAATATACAAAAAAATACAATACTTTAAAATCGTGCATTCCATTAGTAATGGCATAAAGCGAAGTGGTACTCGATAAATCATCAGTGGTACTTTCTTTTTCACAACCAGAATTTCTTTCAAAGAAGTCAGAATTTATGCAACTACATCGCTGTGTGCAATAAATCGAATATGTTCTGCGACGAACTCCACTACTGACCACCGTGAATATCATATTGTTTCCACATTTTTCTCCAGTCAAATGGCATCCTTCATCATGGATTGTCATCCCCGCTTTACAACCGTTTTCCAAGCACTAAAATTGACTAATTCTATTAGTTTTCTCATATAATCGGGCAAACAATTGTACCGATTTATTGTTTATCATAATAAGGTTAAGATTAGTTTTGAAACTCACAATATTTTTTGTTCTTCTTCCATGTTGTCTCGTTTTTTCATGTTGTCCAATGCATTGGCCATTTTCTTCCTTATAGCCCTCTGCACACTTGCATAGCACAATACAATGTTGGTACTTGGATCGTTTAATTAGAATGAATATCATATTCTGTCCACAGAAGCGACCATTTAGTGAACAACTAATGTCATAGACTATTTCATTAAGCGTGCATTCTTCTCGTATGCAAATACTTCTTTCCATCTAAATGTTTAGATTTTAAGCGTTTTTCTACTTTTTCATTACAATATATGAGGGGCCACAAACAGATTAACATTTTGTTGGGCATTGAGCTTTTTTGTTTAATTTCATGTCGTCAAGTGGATTTCTTTTCGATTTCTTCTAAAGAATTCCCACCATTACTGGTTGAACTCACTGCACTGGCTTGTCGTACTGGACAAATAACCAGGGAGTTCCTTGGTGATAGGAGGAATTGCCCGGATTTTTGAACAGGTTTGCTTCTGTTGCATAACCTCAGCATCAGATAACGAGCCATTCTATCCCCCACGATTAATTAAGTTAGATGTGGAAAATGTTTTTGCAATTATAAGGCATTTTAAAGACTAGAAATCTCATTCCAGTTGAGATTTCCTCAATCAGCTATTTTTATTATTTTGTTATTTTTATTATTACTTTACATATCATTTCAGAAGAAAGAAGATAGTTTTAGAAGCTCATAGAATTCTTTCTTTTGCTGTTTCTCACATATTCTCTGATGCATTGGCCATTTTCTTCTTCAAATCCTTCTTCACATTTGCATTGTACAATACAGGAAATATGATTACGGTACGTGGATTGTTTTATTAAGGCGAATTTCATGTTTTGTCCACAGAATTGATCTTTTAACGAACAACCGTTATCTTGCACTGCTTCATTAAGCGAGCATCTGCCACGCATGCAATTCATCCTCTCTTTCTAAACAACTATTTCTTAAGCTTTTCTCATTATATATGAAAAATATTTCGAAACAAAACATTTGTGGTAATATTCAAACATTTCGAAAAATAAAGCATTAAATTCACCACTCCTTTGATTATTTCAGAGCATCGATTGCTTGTTTCAATATATCCATAGACACATTGACATTGCATGACACATTTCCAACGATTGACATTATTGGAGGGCCTTTTGTCAATCACAACCAGTTGCATATTTGGTCCACAGGAATATTCTTGTAGTATGCATTGTATTTCGTAAAATATTTTGTTCAGCTTGCATGTTCCAGTTCGAATACACCTTATTTCTTTGTCTTTTCTCTTAAAATAATATTTAAAGTTTCAGCCTTGATCTCATTTTTTTAAGCAAAATTGGGCATAATTTTAGGCATCCAGTTCGACAAACTCTCTTGGCTGTCTCGATGCAATAGCAATTACTAGGCAATTTGGCCACATATAATACATCTTTTATCGTAAATTCTTTGGCCTAATCTATAGGTTTGCATAGGGTAATAAGAAGTGGCCTAAAGAAAATCCTTTTAAAAGAAAATTGAAAAGATTGAGAATCATATAAGTTTATAGCAGCCCAAATTCGTTTTTTTTGCCAATTTCAATTACCTTTTTTAATGCTTTCCTTAGATTTTTGGCACACTCTGAATTTTGTTTTGCGATACATTCTCCATTTTTTTCTTTTGAATGGCGGTCACATACGCATTTTTGGATACAATAAGCGTTTTTCACATGATTGATGGTTTCGAAGAGCATATTAATGCCACAGGTTTGGCCACTTATAATACATCTTTTATCATAAATCCTTTGGCCCAATCTATAGGTTTGCGTAGGATAATAAGAAGTGGCCTGAAGAAAATTCTTTTAAGAGAAGATTGAAAGAGTTGATAAATCTAATGCTATAACACCGTATAGTTATAGGAGCGAATAGGCCAGCATATAAATTGTTTAAATCTTATAATATTTATGATTTCCTAAACTCTTATCACTGCAAATGGTCTCTTTAATTGTATAGGATTTCTATTTCGAACAGCTTTATGATATTCTTTTATCATAGTATCATATGAGAAATACAAGTGGATTCCATCTCATTTTATAATTGAAATGAAGAATCAAAGAATCTATGATGATTGCTGTTGACCTTTTAATTAATGCTATGATAATTAGCCAAGCATTTTAACCAAAGGTAAAGCATTTTATCCCTCCTTTTTTTATATCAATGAACAGCCGAGTGATTGCTTTTCAGATTATTGTCTTTAATATTAGGCTTGTTGGTTCCCAAGAGTATAAGTTACATATTAAAAATTTTGTTTTATTTGCCTCTTCCATATATTATTCTCTTGCGAATTTTATAATTTTCTTGCATTATAATTTCTCATTGTATTAATGGCTTGGTGATCAACTCATTTAAATTCACCACTAAAAATTCTATAATTTTTCATGTTGTGAATTTGTTGAAAATGTTGAAAGAGAAACTAGCCGTTAAATAAGTGTTATCATCAGCACCGTCATCATTAACATTATCATCACTATCATCATTATTATCATCCGCATCATCTGAGTCATCCTCCTCCCAATCACACTTGACGCATCCTGTATCATTTTCCACAGAATTATTTGCACAAACACATTTGTCAACGCATGATCCATTGAGCTTTGAAAATATTTCGAGTACCATATTTTCTCCACAGCTGCTACCAACCAAGCGACATCCAGAATCATTTATCAATTCGTTTAGCATATATATTTTTTTCTTGAATGGTAAATATACAAAGTAAATATTAAATAAATATAATATTAAATATTATCATATACTGATCACTTGAATATAAATACATGACAATCGCTGGCTAGTTAATCCTATTTATTCAATTATATATTATATATTTATATTTTTGCTGGTTAAATCATCTAATTTAAAAACTCTAAACTAAAGAAATATTTATCATATCGCGGAATTCTTCGAATAAATATTTTCTGCATAAAAATTTTCTTCTAAAAATTTAGACCTTTCTAAAAATAACATTTTCTATAAGATTAAAGATTTATTTCAACAGTTCAACAATTTGTCGATTCAAATTTCCTTTCCAGAAATCCTTTCCAAATATTATCCATTATTTCTGGCATGGGCAATTGTTGATTAATCTCTTAAGTCGTTTGGGCGGCCAGAGGGTCAGTAAAGAGATAGGGAGTCGCAGAAGTCAGCCATATGGTTCCTAGTTATAAAGCTTATCGTTACTGTTTTTATGCAACAAAAGTTCATGCTGCTCGCTCTTTTGGAGATAGGATGGCTCAATCGGTCGTTGCTCAATTAGAAGCGTCGATGCTGAGGTTCGATTCTCCGCAGGAGCGCTTGTACAAAAATCCGGGTGAAGCTAACCTGTATTTCTATTGAGGGATTCCATGGCATATTGCCCAATACGACAAGCCAGTGGAGCGAGTTAATAATGGTGAGGACTTTTAAAAAAAAACTGCTCACTCTCGATTGAAATATAAATACTATAAAAATTAATAGAAATTTCCTCGAACAATCTCACAATTTCAGAAAATATTTGTCCAGAAAAAGTTGAAAAGTTAAAAGTTTTAACCTGCGAAGTTGAATTTGCATTTCTAATGCATTGTCCATCAATTTCTGAGAGTGTTTTATCAGCGCATGAACAACGTTGGACACATTTTACTGCCACCATTGAATAAGCTATTGCTTTCCGTTGCATTGTGCGGAATATCATATTTTTACCACAAGCGGTATCAGTCGATAAGCATCCAAAATCATCGAAAATTTGGCCAAGTTCAAAAACTTTCACTTGCGGAACAACGGCAATAGAATATTGTAAGATTGCCTAAATTAATTTATTTATCCGACGGTGATTTGATGATAGCTATTCTCATTTTATAATGTTCACGTTATATTTAATTGTTAATTAGTTCGTTTGGATTCATCCGAGGGAGATAATTTCACTAACGCATTAAAAAATAGAATTAAACTTGGTCCCTAACACCAATGAAGAACATTAAGAAAAAGAATCTTAAAGAAAAAATTATCTTTTCTTATGAGTTTTAAATCAGAAAAAGATGCCTCGTTACAATTAGCAGAATCATTATGATTATCCTTATAAAAACGTACCAAAACCACTGATCTAAACAGCATGATTCTGTTATCAATATCACAACAACTGATAAACTATTTTTTTGATTTTATTTTCGCTGGTTTTCCATATATTTAATATAATCAACAAAATCGGCTCAAAATATTCGAAAATTCAATGCTAGTAAAATCCATGAATATGCAATGCAATGTTGTTTTTTTTCACCTATTACTGAGTTTGTTTTCCGAATATAATATTGCATGGAATCATTGCATTTTCATCAGTTTAAAATCGCTGATTTTTCTTCATCAACTGCCTTTCACCAAAACGGTTTTAGTTGAATTTTTCGAATTTTTTGAGTAATTAATGGTTTCTGAATATGCTAATAAATGTTATGAATTGTTTCTATCTATCTGTAATCTGCTTTGCCTTATACAAAATATATGCTAAATGGAAAGGTAAGCGGAAGTCGAGCAGTATTTCACTGATGGGCAGCATAATTTCATTATCTCCACTCTTTGCCAGGAATAGGGCCTTTAAATTTGATATATTATGAGGGATCACTTGTTGAAGTCGCTCTGCCGTACACAATATTAATATATCGGTATTTGCTTCGATTACCCATCTATATATTAGCCCCTTCCATATTATACCAAATCTAATTATGGTTCCAAAAAAATAAAAGGAAAATTGTGGTATGGATTGAAATGAATGGGCAAAAACTATCAAGGAACTAAGAGATCTCTATAAGCAACATGAAACATGTTTTATTATTATTTTATTTTATTTATTTATTTATTGAAAACCAGGCAAACTGGGCGACAACGCTATACGCTTGTATTAATAATAGGAATTAAAATAACAAATAATAAAATAACGAATAATAATAATAAAAATAAAAATTACAACAAGAAAAATAAAGATTAATAATAAGAAAAAATTAATTAATAATAATAAGTAAGAAAAAGCAATAAGAAAAAAAAAATATGACAAAAATTAACAATTTAAAGAGGAAATAAAGTGGAAAATATAAAATATTATAGTATAGTATAATTCGAAGCAACTGAATTATATATAATCGGATGGAAAAAATCGAGGTTTCACACTTTCTGCGTGTTGTGAACTTCTAAATAATATCATAAATAATATGATATTACCTAATCTTTTCTTAAAGAAAGCTATGGATGACTCAAGTTATATCGTTCGGTAATTTATTCCAGTAATTAATAGTATGAATAAAGAAATCCTTAGTTAGTCCTTAGTTTAGTTTGCACATAGGCTTTAAATTTAATTTTAACCCGTTAGTTCTTGTTGGATTCAAATTTAGCCTAAAATTATAATATTCTATCAGAAGGAAATGTTTTATAAGCAACAAGAAGATAATTTTGGTTATCGAATTGTTTTTGACTTTACTTCTTGACTTTTTTTTTACAGTCCAAAAATGCAATAAGGCATTTGACACTGATGGGAATATTTGGTAAAATGATTGATTATATCAACGAATATTTCAGTAAAGGAGAATTCTGTATTCTCGCGATAACATTACCCGAAATTTCTTCTGAAAAAGAAAAAAGTATGAGTGAATAATAATTTTCTTAATTAATGAACCATGAAAATTATGAATGAATAGCAACCAGTACTGTTTGGTTGATTTGGGCAACGTTATCGCGAGAATACAGAAGTAGATATCCTTTCACCACAGCGTCATGTTGAAACAGAATTAAATCTATGGCACCAAGCGGATTTTGTCTTGAAAGATTACTATTATTACTATATTAACATTATTACTATTATTATGCAAAAAATCGTAGCAATCATGGATTGATCTTTGTGCAAATGACGAAAATTTGATTATAACTTCAATATCAGAATGTTTATGGATCCAGAGAACCGGGCGACATTCCTTCACATTTTAGTCGCTCCAAATGTTCCTATCGTACATAAATAACATACATTCAAGATGCAAAGATTGCTGTCTTTGTTTCGAAGGAAAACCACTCGTTATACTACAAAAGTTGTTGGTATTTCAGGAAATTGATATAGCCACGGCCTAAAAAAGTTTAATAATAGGCGTTAATGAATGACAACTCCCCTTTAATCAATGTTTCGATCGAGAACATATATGTTCCCACTTAGATAGTTTGGAATTGATTAAAAATAAAATAATTTTGGTATTCATCTCGGAAAGACTGATTTTGCTAAAAAAAAACTACTATAGAATATTTTATAGCAATTGTATGAACGGTTTGAGAAGATAAGGGAACTTAACGAGATTTGATAGATAAAAAAGGGGTAAAGTGTGACATGGGGCATGGCGGCGCATTAGCAGAGTATAATGGGATCTAATGATGCAGTTCTCGGATTTCTTTCTCCGAACTCATTTATATACATCTGATCAGTTAAGCCAATTGCTATTTATGGTTAATAATAAAAAATACTGGAATCATTGAATAGCAATTTGTTCATAAAATGCCAAATACATTCGATGCAATTAGTGAAAACATGAATATGGCAGTGGTTTTATTAAACGTTGCCAAATTTTTTATTTTTTTTTTTACTGATTTTTTGATTTTTTCTGTAAAATTAAGCAAAATGTCTTAACAATAAGAATTAACAATAAGAAAATTAATTCTTTTAAAATTTATTCTCATGAAAATTAATTTGTTCGATTGATTCCATTTTATTCTTTTTTCTTCGCCTTTACTCGATAATGCGGGTTAAGGGGTCGATTTGCTTCGCTTTAATAATAAAAAATAAATGGCTGACCTATTTGCTATCTACCGCCTCGTTTAAGACTGTCATTCTAAATTATAAAACAGAATTGGTGCCTTTAATAATAAGAAAAAGAAACCATCTTGAAGAATAGAGAAACGATGAAACAAAAATTAGAAATTTTGCATGCAATCACCAGCTTCCGCCAAAATACAGCTACAGCGTTCGATACATCCCTTAATATTTGGATCGTGTTCGGTAGAAAATTCTTCAACAGCAATAAATTTCTTATTGATTCCACATTCATGATTTCTTAAACGACAACCGAGATCAGAAATTTCTTCGCCAAGATGGTATTCTTTCCCTATATACATCTGCAAATTGTTTCTAAAATTAGCGTTGAACGCATATTCCCTATACAAAAAATGTATAAAAAAAAAAATAAAAAAATATAAATATACAAAAAAATGGAAGAAATATATTTATTATTATATTTACTACATATAAATATGTAATAAAAAGCAGAATAATGAGAGTAATGAAAGAAATAAGAAGAAATATACAAAAAAATACAATACTTTAAAATCGTGCATTCCATTAGTAATGGCATAAGGCGAAGTGGTACTCGATAAATCATCAGTGGTACTTTCTTTTTCACAACCAGAATTTCTTTCAAAGAAGTCAGAATTTATGCAACTACATCTCTGTGTGCAATAAATC